GAGGAGCGTGGCCAGCTTCCTGGCTGTGCCACAGGCTCAGCCAGGAACGTTCATGTCAGAAACCTGAAGAACAAAGAGAAGGAAGCCATGGGGAGGCAGCTGGCATTTCTTAGCTCATCACATTTGCAGATTATGTCTAAAGGCCCCCGTCCTGCACATGCTTATACACATGGATAATCTGGCCAAAGTCCATGGCACTACTTGTGTAAGCAAAATTGCACGCTGTGTAAGCAGCTGAAGATCAGAGCTTCTTGTGCAGAGCTGACAAAGCAAATCAAGGGACCAGCGGAAACCTACAGGCACCTTCAGGGCTTTGGTTTGAGACACTTTATTCACCATTTATTCTTTTACTAAGTGTGTCCAGCATCTTGTGTTCTAATAAAGCGCTGGTAGCTATACAGCTGTTGACACAACCAACACCATCTGGCCCTTCTTTCTGACAGGAGACTGGAGGAAGTTGGCTCCTTTAGCCCAGCGCAGGGGTTCTCAAACTTCACTGCATCTCGACCCCCTTCTGACAACAAAAATTATTACACGACCCCAGGAGGGGGGACTGAAGCCTGAGCCTGTCTGAGTCCCGCTGCCCTGGGTGGAGAGACAAAGTCGAAGCCCAAGGGATTCAGCCGCAGGCAGGGGACCTGTAACCTGAGCTTCGCCACCTAGGGCTGAAGCCCGAGGGCTTTGGCTTTGGCCCCAGTAAGTCTAATGACAACCCCAACGACCCCATTAAAATGGAGTCACGACCCACTTTGGGGTCCTGACCTACAGTTTGAGAACTGCTGAGAAAGGCTGAGAGCGGATACGGTCACCTCTGGTGTATTAACAAAGAGCAACACCAGTGAGGGTGAAGAGCTATTTAAGCTAATGGACAATGGGGCACAAGAACAAATGGGGATAAACTGGCCAGGAACAAATCCAGGCTGGAAATTAAGAGAAGGTTTCTAACCATGAGAGTGGAGCGGTTCTGGAACAGCCTCCCAACAGGAATTGTGGGGGCAAACAATTCAATCAGTTTTGAGAGAGAGGCGGACAAATATACGAGTGTGATTGTATGACAGGGATGCATGTGGTGGTAGGGTGCAGGGCTCAGCAGCCCAGGGGGTCCTTTCCGGCTAATGTCTGATGTTCCTAAAATCTCATGTTTCAGGGCTTCAGCCAGTCACCTGCAGGGGTCAGGATTCCTTCCCCACCCCCAAGTATCCCATTTGTCTTTTTGCCTCTCTCCTTCCTCTGCAGCACCAGGGATGGCCATGGCTGGAGATGGGACACTGGACAGGATGGGCCAGGGCTCTGAGGTGGCCCTGAGCATTCTCTCTCTCGAGCATGTGGCTGGCTGGTTCTTGCTCCCATGCTCAAGGTCTAACTGATCGCCATAGGTAGGGCTGGGAAGGAATTTTTGCCCAGGTCAGATTTGGCAGTGGCCTTGGGGGCGGCAGGGTGGGTGCAGCGTATGGGTGCAGATCACTTTCTGGGATCAGCTGGGTATATCTCATGTAATCACTTCCCTGCCATCATGTGGGCCTTGGGCACTGGTGCCCCTCCATTCCACCTATTCTCTGCCTCTGGCAAATACTGGTCCACTCTCCAGTAGTTTGCAGGGAAGGATTCCTTTCCCTGATCCCCAGTCCCTGAAGAACTTCCAAGGTGCAACCCAGTGCAGGCCGTTCACAGGAAACAAGCTTAGTGCCCAAGAGAACAAAAACGAAGCAAGTGAGACTGAAGGTTCCCACAGCAGCATGACTCTTGCACATGACACGCTGGCAAGGTGTCTGCTAATCCTTCATCTAGGCCTTAATACAGATATCACAGAGTCACTGAGCTAGGTGCTACGAGAACCGTAAGTTTGCAATTCTTGACTTTGGGGTACTTGCCTTTGGGTGGGTGAGGGACAGGCAGATGCGGGAGTGCGGGGGAAGGACTGGTATGCTTGGCTGTACAGTCTAGCAACCACACATGGAAACGAAGTTTCTTAGGCTGTGTCTACACTCCAGGCAGTACAGTGGCATAACTGTGGTGCTGTAGGTAAGCTGCTGGCGGTAACTTTGAAGCATAGATGCAGACTACAACAATGGAAGGGGTTTCTCCACCTCCCCAAGCAACAGCACCAGGTGGATGGAAGAATGCTTCCATCGACTGAACTGCATCCACACAGAGCATGGCTAAGGCACTCAGGGGTGTGGCTGTTTCAGACTCCTGACCGACGTGGCTCTGTGGACCTAACCTTTTAGCATCGACCAGGCCTTAGTTTCTCAGGCCTTGCCGACACAGCAAGTGGCAGCAGCTGGATTAAATGAAACCAGCGCCAATACCCAGGGGCTGCTCATTTCAGATTTGGAGCGACTTGTTGCTGTTTAGCTCACCCAGATTCCTAATCAGCAGTTCCGCACGCAAACTGGGCGCCAGCATAGCTAATTCAGTTACAGGGGACTCTAACTGACACAGTTACCCTGGGATAGCCCCAGGCTAAACACAACCCCTGGGCGAACGCAGGTGGCTCGTGCCAGCACAGTTCATTGCCCTTCCCACACGGGACAGCTACACCAGGGTGACAGCAGCACCTGCTCTAGCCAGGAGGCTGTTACCCCGACAGGATTCCCATCCTGGCTGCCACACACAAGAGCCTCAACCCCCTGCAGTCTCCAGCCGGGCCCAGGCAGCGTGGTAAGGGGGCAGGGAGCGGAGGGATTGGATAGAGGGCAGCGGAGTTCGGGGGGGGGGTGGTCGGGGGCGGGAGTGTGGATAGGGGTTGGAGCGGTCAGAGGGCAGGGAACAGGGGGGCAGTCAGGGGCAGGGGTTCTGGAGGCAGTCAGGGGACAGGGAGAAGGGATGGTTGGATGGGGCAGGGGTCCCGGGGGAAGCCATCAGGGAACGGGGGT